CATGCTCATCGACGCTGGAGCTTTAGTGAACATTAAAAATAAAAAAGTATTGAGTCCGTTAATTTATACTGTAAAAAACAATAACATTTCTCTAGCCAGCATACTTATCAAAAGTGGAGCTTTGATCAATGATGCTGATAAGTATGATAATATTCCGTTGATACATGCTGTAAGAAATATGTACACAACTAATCATTAAGGAAAGACTTGCTTTTATTATTTTATTGAATATCAATCTTCAATTCATCCAGGAATGAAAAAAGTTTTAAACAAAGGACCAATGACTTACCAGTTTCCAAATGTGCCAGTATATTTTCTAACAACGAATGTCAAAGAACAACTTGATGAATCACTTTACAAAAGAGAAATGTGTAGGGCAACTTTAGCATAGCGATGATACACTATAAAAGCTTTTTTTACATAAATATGTATAAATTTTTAAATACATTTTTATGTAAAAAAACGAAAGTAAAGCAGTTTACTTTCGATGGTAAAAAAAAAATCAAAACAGTTTTTTACTATTTTATAATAGTAGAAGTTTTTTTATAATTGATTTATTTCGAAAAAAAAATTTTTTCTGTCAGATTGGAGAATTATTTTTGTTATTTAATTAATTTAGGTAACAGTTATATAAACGTAGTTACTGTAATATAAACGTGGGTTTTAACATTTTTGGGGATCTATGCATTCCAAGAAATAAACTCCTAAAAATTAATGAACATCTTATTGCAGTACTTTTTTCAGATACATCACGACTTTTGATCTATTGATTTTTTGTGATGAAAGAAAAAAAAGCAAAATAGATCTAAAAACCAAGGAACTCCACTGAAATTGCAAAACCGAGAAGGAAAGTCAGTGAAAAAAGAGAAAAAAAGGAAAAACTGTGGTGAGGGAGATCAAGAGAAATGCGAATTTCTCCAGCTAAATAGTAGAGTGAGAGAGCGTAAGGTTGCCCTCGAATCCGGAAAAGAGACAGCATCCAAGCAACGAAGATGAGAGAGAGAAAGAGCCGTGCAACGTAAAAGCGTAGTCGTGTCGCACGTACGCTCGTCTGTCGGCGACGTGCTTGGCATCGCGAATCGCGCGAGTCTTTCTCTCTCGCCAACCCCCAGCCCCTGTAAATAGGCATGTATGTATAGTTACCTTATACTCCACGTGGTATAGCAATGCACCTTATCCTCGAGCCTCCGATCCCGCTCCACTGTTATCTCACCCTCCTACACTGTACCCCCTTTTCCTTTTTCCCTTTTCTATTATTTCTTTGGCCTTTTTTCTATTTCGATCTTTTTCTGACTCTCATGCCCCCTTCCGTTTTTTTAAGACTTTGAGTCTGCTTCTATGTTGCAGTCTAATTGTATACTTTAGTGCTTGGCTATTTAAGTTTTCATGATTGATCAATTACGTAGTTACTGTGTTTAGTATTAGTTTACAAATGTTACTAACAAAGGACTTCAATATATTTTTATTGAGTACACAGTGCTAATTTTACTTAACGTATGGGCTCTCCCTCTCCCTTCCTTACAAATAAATTGATTTTCTGACAAACTTAAATTTTTTCAAGATTTTTTGGCTTATTTTACGTCGTAAAGGTCCCCTGTGATTTTTTGCGAAATTTACGGTGAACTAAGAAAAATTTGCAAAGTTCAAAAAAATCGTGTGTGTGTGTGTGTGCGCGCCCGCGCGCGATTTCCTTGAACTTTATAAATTTTTCTTAGTTCACCGTACATTTTGCAAAAAATTACAGGGGATCTTTTCGGCATAAAATAAACCAAACAATCTTGAAAAAATTTTGGTTTGTTAACAGGCAAGCTCTAAAGACCTGATGAGAATTCATGAAAGTAAGACAAAGTTTTCTAAATATGGTACTAACATCACCTCTAACGTCTGTACTGGTATTTAATTTCTTAGTGATTAGCGTAATATTCATAGTATGCTCAAAAACTAGAACTTACCAAGTTTAGAGTATCCAGTTTTTTACAATCAATGTAACTTATTCTGCGTGATGAATGTAACTTTTAAACATGTATATGTCAAAGTAGAGTAAACTGTTTTTTAAATACTGGCGACCCAGCGCCAGAAATGATGTTATATTAACATGCAAATAAATGTTTATGTATATCATTGACCAGTTCTGATGGAAAAAACTATAAATGTTGTACATCGACAACTTAACAAAGGAGCTGTACGTTACGTATGCTTTAAAAAAGGCCATTAAAAAAATTATGCTGCTCAAAAAGCGTTACTTGAATAACGAATTCTAATTAAAACACTATTTTTTGCAATGAAACATGTTTAGTAGGTGTGTCTTACTTCACTGTTAATCTACATTTTCTTTTAAAACTGCATCTCTGCTGTTCCCAGAATATCTTTCAATTCATTTGTAACACATTGAGAAGACTTTTTAACTTCTGATCACGTTTCTTATCTTTCAGATACTTTAGATACCTTTTAATCTAGATTGGTTTGTATCTTGCAGTTTTCACCGGTTTTCGAAATACTATAGAAATTTTTAGACAGATGTTTAGTTATACTTAAAAAAGATATCAAACCCTACTATGAAACAACAAACAAGGAAATGTTTTCCAGACATATCATCAGAAATGAAAGCACAGTTGTGATGGAACGTTTGTTGAAAGATGGATATGATATTAATGCACGAGATTTCCAAGTGAACACACCTCTTTTAATTGCAGTAGCATGTAACAATGCAGATATTGTAAGATTTCTATTGGACAAAAAGGTTAGAATCAATCTTTCAAATCACAACGGTAACACTCCTTTGTGGATTGCATTGAAGAAATCAGGTAATTTTGTTTCAACAAAAAAAAACAACATAATTTTGTAATAAGATTCATAAATCAAGTTTAGATGCTTATTAAATTTGGAATCACTCGAAAAGCTAATACAATCTTAGTTTTCTTACTAATATTACGTACGATAGTATGTAGCGATGTGTCCGTGCACCCCTTCTAGTTTGAGCCCTAAAGGGTAGAAGAGCAGGGGGAATGAGGAGGTAGTAGATTGTAAACATTTTAGTTTTAACAAATCAACTGTTTTTTTTCGTCATACTTTAATGTAAAAGAAGTATGAAAATTGTTAAATTAGCTTTAAAACGTTTACTTTGTATTAGATTAGTTTGTATTTAAATGTTTTTTAAAGCTAACTTTTTACAAATTTTTTCAACATTTCTTCTAACTTCAACAGATTAAATTTATCTCTTTCAATAAGCATGTAGATATTGGATATGTTTGAAAAATATCTAAGTTAAAAAAGTTGTGTAATATTCAATATAAGTTTGAAAAAATTTTCAAAATTTTAAAAGCTAATTGCTGTTATTGAACAATTGTAAGGTAACTGTAAAAATCGAGGCTTTCGTAGCTAGTTTTCAGCAGAATACAGTATATTTAATGGTAAATTAAAATAAACTAGGTAAAAACGTTAACCCCCCATTAGAACTCATTTAAGGCCGAAATTAATGAACGCTCTTCTTCAAAACAGCACTAACATTGAGAAGTACATGTTTTATTTTATTCTACATGTTTAAGATTATTATTTATCTTAAAAAAATACTTATTGAAAAAAGAAGTTCAATTAAGAAAATGGATCTTAGACATAACAATATTAATTTTTTGCAGTATCTAAAGCTATCATTGAAATGCTGATTGATAGTGGGGTCCATGTTAACATTGCAGATAGATGGGGTGATATGCCACTGACGTATGTTGTGCAAAGAAATAATACTCCTGTGGCAATCATGCTCATCGACGCTGGAGCTTTAGTGAACATTAAAAATAAAAAAGTATTGAGTCCGTTAATTTATACTGTAAAAAACAATAACATTTCTCTAGCCAGCATACTTATCAAAAGTGGAGCTTTGATCAATGATGCTGATAAGTATGATAATATTCCGTTGATACATGCTGTAAGAAATATGTACATAACTAATCATCAAGGAAAGACTTGCTTCTATTATTTTATTGAATATCAATATTCAATTCATCCAGGAATGAAAAAAGTCTTGAACAAAGGACCAATGACTTACCAGTTTCCAAATGTGCCAGTATATTTTCTAACAACGAATGTCAAAGAACAACTTGATGAATCACTTTACAAAAGAGAAATGTGTAGGGCAACTTTAGCATAGCGATGATACACTATAAAAGCTTTTTTTACATAATTTTTTCAAAAAGTTTTGAAAATATATCTTTAGTTAACGCAGTGTTTTATTGTTTTAGTTTCAAAATGTTTGATTTTTTTAACTGACGCTTCTTTAAAATTATTTATAGTTGGACATAGTCTTGTAGCTGATTAGATATGGAAGATTAAAATTATGATAAGAAAACGGAACTTATTGTAAATATGTATGTACCGATTCTGATGTTGGTACCAATACTGATTGAACTTTTCTCTAATACGGTAGATCCGCTTTTAACGATTGTTAGGACCATGCTCATCCT